TGCCAGCAGATTTAGCATCTAGTGTAGGTCCACTTCTTATTTCGTAGATGGCTGTTCTTGTTGTGACCTCATATGGCAGAAAAGGTAAGGGCATTCACTGGGGTCTCTTCTACAAGGACACTAATTCCATTTATGAGGGCACCATGCTCATGACCCAATCAGCCCCCAAAGGCAACACCTCAAAACACCACTACCTTGGGGATTAGGTTTCACCATATGAATAGGGGGTCCATTCAGTGGATGAACATTCAGTCCATAGCAGCATGCTTGGTATATGGTTGGCTCTCAGGAATCACTTGTCCTTTGGTCATTTGGTGACCAGGTGTACCTTCCCTTCCTTCAGTCTCTCCCCTTCTACTTCCTGCTCTCTCCTGTACTAGTATGAGAAAGGAGGAGGGGCAGGGAGAAGCCAGGTCCCTTGTCCGATTCCTCTTTCCAGACATAGGGGAGCTCAGGTCTTTCTATCTGGGTGTGAGGTCTGGCTATGGGCTTGAGGCATCACTTTTACAGTGGTTGGAGGGAGCAAAGGCGTGAGCCATGGGGGTAAACTATGCAAGCATCTTGGGGAGAAGCCAAATACCGAAGCCTGGGTGACTACCCAATAGGCTGGCAGTCCAGCTGGGCCCAGCCAAGAGATGCAGGCCAGGAGACGAGGGATGCAGGCCACAGACCAGAGGTTAAGTAGAGGAAAGTCAAGAGAGACACTGCCAAGAACAGGTTTTCATGGTGGCTCCTGCAGAGCTCCTGTGCTAGGGACTCTTTAGGGTGCAGAGGGGCCCTCCTCTGAGCACAGCCCCAGCTGCACTCTTCAAAGGTGTTGCCAAATCTATCAGGGACGGGGGAGGAAAGGGCAGAGTGGAGGCCTTTGACCATTTTTAAACCCACGAGTAGTGCCCTGGTCAGGAACTGTCCATTTTTGTCCCCTCTCTAGCCTCACACAGACACTTCTAGAGAATTTAGCTGGATGCCTGGAAGAGGGCTTCCCAAGGCTCAAAATCAAGCTAAGATTTGCTTCCAGGATCTTACCATATTCATCTAACAAAGCCCCCCTAAAGGGCACCCAGCCATCAAAAGTACGCTTCTCTGGTTATTTTCAACAAACCACATGTGTGGGGCCAGAGCTCTGAAGGCAAGAGGCCAAGTGGCAAATCAAAATTCCTGCCGGAGGGGTGGGGCCAGTTGAGCTGATGAGCTCTTCGCCTGGGACTGGCCAGGCTTGCCAAACAGAGGGCAGAGTCAGCTCTGAAATCCATCAGCAGGAAGTAAAACTTGCCTTCCTGCTGTCTTCACTCCAGAACATTCAGATCTATTTCCTTCCTGGCGATAATGGTAAGCGATCAGATCTAGTTAATGCATCCTTTGAAGGATGGTGTTTGCTTCTGTGTCCAAGCCAGTGACTCTACACGGGCAGACGCACACACAGGCACACGCAGGCCTGGACGCCTCGCATATGTGAAGACCGTGGAAAGCATTCTGCTCTCCTAGAAATCACAAAATGGTGGTTCAGTGATGAATTGCCTCAGTCTGGACATTGAGAGGTGTGAGTTCTGGACCTTCTTTGGCCACCACCTGGCTGTTGACACGGCCCCTGTAGGCCTCAGTTTTGTCAGCTCTGGAGGGGACCCTGGGATCACTCACAGCGCTAACATCCTCTGTTTTTAGCATCCATCTGCAAATTGAGCAGGCCGAAGCCACCTGAATTTGGATCTGGAGTGTTCTATTTTCACTACGGAGGGAGGGATAAAGAGAAGAAATAGAACAAGTGCCTCTAAAAATTCATGACTCAAAATACTCACCCGAGTTGAAAGGGTGTCTCTGAGCACACACGTGTGGCGCTAATTGGTGCTGGTGAGCGCGATGGAGAAAGCATCGGCCTCCTGCTTAACCTGGAGGCCCCTTCCGTCCTGCGTCCTTCATCCAGTCATGATCCGACATTTGGGGGAAAACCAACTGAGTGATGTGCTTTATCTGAGAATCAGGAGTGCCTGTGCTCAGGTTTTCACTGTCACATTTTGCTACAGCTTTTCCCCAGTCTGCCTTCTCGGTTCTCACTGCCCTGTCTTGTGTTGCATTTAAAGCGGAAATTCACTGTAGGCTCATGTGCAATCTTCTTTTAATCATTTGGGGGGCAGCCCAGAGCTACAAGGAACCCTGGCCCTGGTTTTGGTTTCGAATTACCTTAAAAGACCTCGTATTTGAAAATGTGGCATCATTTCTCATCTCAGAAGGCAGGAAGGCTAAGTTTGATGGAATCAGAGAGTGAAGTCAAGTCAAAAGGAAAAAAACCAGATAGCTGTAGACCCACGCCGCTAATAAGCAAAGCTGGCCCCCGGCCAGCGCTGCTCAAGCCTGGGGGATACAAGACAGTCACAGACTGTTACGTCCTTTCCAAACTGCCCCCGCCTGCCTCCACTAGTGCCAGGGGCTCCTCACAAAACCTCACACCTCAGCCTCCTTCCTCTGCCACCGTCAAGCACACACTTACCATGACCACACTTGTCACACGCTGTCTGTTAGCCTGACACATCTCGTCCTCTCTCTCCGTGCCCCTCTGCTCTGCCCTGTCACGCTTCATGTGTCTGCTCCATGCCAAATCTGACACAACACTGAGGGATTTTTTTTTTTTTTTGCACAGTAATCTTGGAAAACATGATCACTTGTGATTGTTTTTTTTTATTTGGGGCCCTGTGGTCTGAGGCAAGGTCGCTGGAGGAACAGCCTCGGCAAGAGGAGGCTCATGTGAACTTGGTTATAAAAATTTTCAAACGAGCAGGAAGTGAGCAAGACATCCACTGGGTAGGCATCTTTGGGGCTTGGCTGGAAAGAACTAGGCCACAGGGTGTTGGCCGTTCCGTGAATAAGAAATTACTCTGATCCTGAGGTAGAGGAAGGTTAGTTGGCAGAGTTTCAACAATAACTTCATTAGATAAACACACATCTGTCCCCAGTCTAATTTATACAAGTGCAGAGAAGGGAGGCAGAAAAAGGAAGAAATTGGGGTGGAGAGCTGGGCAGACGGGAAAGGGCCTTCTGTCGGCAGACGGCCTGGCCCATATGTGGGGGGAGGTGGCCCTTAGAGCATCTTTCTTTCTCTTTTTTTATAAGGAAGTTTGTCTGTACTCATATAGACAGTACCGAAAAATATTAAGAAGGAAACACGCACGCACCCACACGCCCGTAATCCTACAGTAGTCAGATATCACACGATTAATTTATTCCTTTGCAGTCTTTTTCTCTTTCTGTCCATTTTGTAACATAGTTGATTTGCGCTCATACTATGGCTGCAGTTTGATACTTGTTTATTTCCAACTTTCACATACTACAGTTCCTTTGCTTTTTTTTACACACCGTGTCCGGTATTTGGCCATGTGGTGCTTTGTCTAGTGGATGTGCTCTGGCAAGGCGGGTCCCTCACAGTGGTTAAGAGCACGCCTGTGGGTCAGACAGCATGGGGCTACTCCCCCAGCCCCCCACTTGTTTAAAAGCCTGGTGACTTTGGGAAGCAGCTTCATCTCTTTAAGCCTTAATTATTTCATCTGCAAAATGGGCATAGTAATACCACTACTTACAGAGTTGTCAAAAAGATTCAACAGGGCAGTGCTTACTGTTGCCCTCTTTTTATGAAACCACCTCCTCTCAGGAGGGAGGTAATATTATTGTCATTTTACAGATGAGAAGGTTTAGCTAGGTGAGTTCACTTGCCCGGTGTCCACGGCTAAGAATTGAAAGAGCCAGGATTTGTAATCAGTCGGGCTCTGAAGCCCCACCCCTCAGCCACCATGCTACGCTACGTACTAGAAGTAACTTGGCTGAGTCACCCAGCTACTAAAGAGCAGAGGTGAAATGTCACGGAATCCGGAGCCTACATGCTATGATGCCTCCTGAAAAAGTTCCTTATTGGTCTCATATTCCCCAGGTTTTACTTGAAATCATTTTTTTTTTCTGGTGCCCTAGTACAATAGCAGGCACTGATGGGCACCAGTAGGTAGGGGCCCGGGACTGATGGGGGCTTTTACTGGTCCCTGCAGTGATACCACAGTGGTATATTTTCAGAGTGCAGGAGAGAGTTTGTTGGAACTGTTTAAAAAATCATTGATATGTGATGCCCAGAGAGGGTCTGTAGAAGCATCAGCAGCAACATGGATCATATTCTCAAATCTTCCCTGTTTTCATCTTTTCTTAATGAAGTCGATGTTGAAATGGTTCTCTTCTCGCCTCTGGCTCCCCTCTCTAAGAATGGTGTCCAAGAATTGTGCCCTAGATGGATTCTTGGCCCCTGAATCATTTGCCAAGTCCAGCCTGACCATCTTTCTCCTATAGTCGATCTTGGGTGAGCGAGGAGATGCCCTGGAAGGGGTTCAGGGATGGATGCCACTGATTGCATTGCTGCCTCGTCACCTACAGAGTGACAGGTTGTGAGAGAAAAACAAATCGCAGCCAAAAAAAAAAAAAAGCTCCATTCCAGTTTCCAGGGTACATCTGTTCTGTGGGGGGGTCTCTCAAAAGGCCTGCCAGCCTTGGGGTCAGAAGGCGCTGAAGGTTTAGAACCGTACCCAGCCCCTCGGCCTGCATTTGCTGAAGGTCGCACATCCGGAGCAGATCTGATTTCGAGCTGTCCCAGTGACTCCTCTGAATCACTTGGTTATTCAGCAGATTAAATCTTAATTGCAAATGCGGTTTCAGCGTAGGAGGACCATTGTGCTTGCTGGTTTCAGGCCATTTTTGCTGAGCCGTGCTTTTCCAGAAGGCTGTTACAAATTTAGAAAGGGGGAAATGGTATTTCATTTGTCCATCAGAGTTTTGTTTTGCAGACCGAATTTATTTTAGTGTTGGTTTAAAGGTGCCAAAACCTGACATCCCTGGAGAGAAAATGGCTCAATTTTTTGGAGAGCTTCTCTGGTCTGTCCAAACTGCATCTAGAAAACAATGTCTGAGGTCCTTATGTGACAGGCCAGGCTTGCCGACAATCTCATGTGTTATCATTTTGATTGATTTTTCAGAGACCCAAGAAGCCACCTCCTCCATCCGCTCCTGTCATCAAGCAAGGGGCAGGTAATGTACTTCCGTTCTGTCGACACGTGTGTCTGTCTGTGTGTATTTACAGCGCCCTTGGTAGAGCTCAAGATTCTTAGATTCAAATGCTACAGATTACCAAACTGGGAAGTTGCCAGTTGGTCTCAATGGGCAGATTTGAAATATGCTGCCGTTTTTCCTAAAAAAAGAAACATCTTTTAAAATGCATGCCCAGTACAGTGAAAAAATGCAGCCTCCCAAAGAGAATCACCAGGAAGACTTTATTTTGGTGTAAACCATTCTTTTTATTTCTTTGTATTTCTAATCAACTGCTTTTTTTAATGTTTTTTTTTTAAATTTGTTTTTGAAAGAGAGAGGTAGAGGGAGAGAGAGAGGGAGACAGAGAATCCCAAGCAGGCTCTGTGCTGTCAGCACAGAGCCCAATGCGGGGCTTGAACTCACAAACCCTGAGATCATGACCTGAGCCGAAATCGGGAGTCGGACACTTAACTGACTGAGCCACCCAGGCGTCCCTAATCAGCTGCTTTTGATGAAATAAAAACCTAATTGTCCTGCTTTGCCTGTGCCCTCCTGATCTCGAGGATCAGCTTAGGGAGGATTGCTTCCCACGGGTCGTAGCCTCACCATGCATGTCCCATGTGGTTAAGCATAGTCAGTACTTACTTCACTTACCCAGCCTCAGGACAAATGTTATTCTAGCAATAAATGCTTTTCCTCATAATTCTTCTTTAGTCTTGAAAAGAGTCCAATTCACTTTTTCTGTGTAATTCAGATACTAAGGTTGAATAATATAGGAAGACGTGATGTTGCTGGACATTTGATAACTCGTTGCGCACAGGGTTCTCATACATAAAAATGATCATTCATATTTCCCAACAGAACTCCTCTTTATAATTATTAAGAACTAATTATGGGGAGAAATCCCTCCATGAATAACTAGTTAAGTGGCATTTAAAAAAATTGACAACTAAAACAGAGGAAGAGTAGGGGTATTTTTAGTTCTGCACATTAATAACTGTGATATTTCTATAGCATTTAAAGTATGAATAAATTTCCAGATTGGTTTATTCACAGATTTATTAAGGAGTGATTTTTTTTCAAGCTCTTTTGGTCTACCCAGTTGGTGGGAGGGGGGATCAGCTTGACCCCAAATTCCTTTCCCATTCCTTTAGCTTAGTTGAGAATTAACAGAGATTAAGCCCTGAAATGAGGTGTTAATTATATCTCCTGCTCCGCCCCCATCCTCGTTTGCATTGAGCAGTTTAATTTTGCCACCTAGTGGTTCACACCGGATCAATATTTTTTTTTGTTTTGAAATTAAAGCTGGCTGTTGATTTGCTTTTCTCTAAAGACCCTTTTCCTAGAGGCCTTGGTGATACAGTGCAGACCAAGGAGATGAGCTGAGTGGCCCAAGGCTCAAGCAGCCTAGAATGTAACCAGGATTGGATTCTTCGTGGTAGTGGGATTGTCCGTTCCTCCTGTGTCTCTAGGAATGATGATAAACTTCTTCGTTCTCATTAGAGGCCTAGATTGTAGCATGATAGGCAAATTCTTTTCCTTTTAAAGCAGTTTTACCAAAGGTTATGCTGGATCTCTTTAGCCATTTTCTAAGTGTTCTTATGCACCTGAGGCCACAGGCACTGCTCAAGACCCCAGGCGCGGGAACAGCTGGAGTCTGCATGGCCACATGCGTGCACTTGGGGAAATGTAATATGTAATATTTGAGGGATTCAGGCACAGATAGAAAGGACTGAGGGAGAATCGCGTATCTTCTCTGCACATCCCTCCACTTGAAAATGTGCTCTAGTTCTATTGCTGCCTAGCGAACCGTCCCAAATCTGCTGGCAGAAGACGACCATCTTCTTATGTCCCAGGACTCTGGGGTCAGGAATTTGAACAGGACACGACCGGGACATCTCGTCTCTCTGCTCCTTGACGTTTCGGACCTCAGCTGGGAATGCTGGGCCAGCTGCGGCTGGAGGACCCACTTTGGAGATGGCTGGTTCGCTCTCATGTGTGGCTCCCCTCGGCAGGAGTAGCTGGAGGGCTGGGCTCAGTGGGGGCTGTAGGCCAGAGTGTCCACACATGGCTTCTTCAGCAGGCCTCGGGGTTGTTGACTTCTCACGTGGAGATTCAGTAGTCTGGCGAATGAGCTACATGGTCTTTTGTAACACAGACTTGGAAATTACATGGTATCGTATCGGCCACTGGTTGGAGCAGTCACAAGCCTACCCACATCCCAGATAAGGGGACACAGGCCTCACCTCTTAATGGGAGGAGTGGCAAACGATTTGAGGCCATGTTTTAAAACTGCTATCACGTGGAATCCAGGTCCCTGTGAAACTTCTTTTTATTTGTAGAGCAAAAGCCATTGACCCATCATTTGCATATTTTGATGGATGACTTGTTTATACACATTTTCCACCCACACCCCGTGATTTCCTGTGACTGTTTTGATGCCTACGGAAGTCACATTTAAATATCAGAAAATATTCATGGTGTTCTTGTAAATTAAGGATGTATACGCAAGCAAACTTTTTTTTTATTAAATATAATTTATTGTCAAGTTGGTTTCCATACAACACCCAGTAGGCAGGCAAACTTAATTACACAGGCCGGAAATGGCTTCTGCCGTCTCTAAGCAGCTTGTGTCTGCCAGGTAACACCAGCTCTCCTCTTAGGGGGAAAAAGTCTATTGACTTTGCTCTACCTGATAAATATTTAAAATGCTGGTGTGTCTAATAAATGGATAGAGAAAACATGCTCTGATCACTGCAATCCTTTCCCCCTTAGGTACCACTGAGAGAAAACATGAAATTAAAAAAATACCTCCTGAAAGACCAGAAACACTTCCAAACAGAACCGAAGAAAAAGGTAGGAAATCAAGTCTTCGTTGGCACCAATAGAACAGCGAGAGCCAAAGCTGTCGGTCCTGGGCTAGTCCAGATTACCCACAGAGTTTGTTTTTGGGGGGGGAATATGGTGATTATGGTTTTATTCTGGTTGCTTTTAAATACCCCATCTCTGAGGGAATAGGAGAGAGGGTTATGTGGTGCTCCTTTGGGCCAGAATTCCTCGTCAAATGAAAAACAACCAGCCCGGTCACTGGACACATTGGGCTGCTTCCATCCCGGTCTTTCTGCCGTCACTGCCCTCCCTACACCAGCAGCATCCTGAAGTCAAGGTGCTGACTGGAAGTTTCTTGAGGGCCTGGATGTATCAGCCAGTTTCCATCCCGCTGTCTCCGGGCCTCGTGCCCCGGGAGAAACTCCCATCCAGACAAACGAAAGCTGTCATCCCCCCGTCACTGCTGGCCCTTTGACTCTCGCTACTGTGTCACAGACACATGTCCTCGGTCAAGAATGCTGGCGGTGGGGGGCACGGCAAAACGGGGAGCAGCAGCGCAGTGCCCACAGTCCCCTGAAGGTGGTCAGGACTGTCCCTTGAAGGGAAGTAGCTTCACCTGCCTCACACGGTTTTACACATGTGTTTGACTCCTGCCGTTCTCAGTGTGTCTCCCAAAGAAATCTGCACACTGTGGGGGGCTCGTTTTGTTAGGTGTCCGCGATGTGATTGATCACACATTTTATGGGAAAAGTGCTGTGCTGTTATGAGCAGGAGGTGGAGCAAATTCCATTTTAAAAAGCAGCTGTTTGTAAGTCACAAGAGCGATGCTGAATTAATGAACGTGATTATTTGGAGGTGCTCCTGGGTGGCCTCACAAAATTTTATTGTGAAATTTAATATTTTATATCAGTCTGCCAAAAGCTTTACCAACAGTGCCAGCCCTTAAGAAGTTACACCTCCTTCTTTCACAGGGAACACTTGAAATTTGAGTTGTGAAACCTCATTGTGAAGGCCAGGTCTGTGTCCCAGATCAGTGAAAAAACAGCCCTGTGTGTGTATCACATGAATAGCCCTTTGGTCAAAGTGTGTGCTGTGACGTAACCAGACACTGCCCCCCCCTCCACCCCCATGGGCATGTGATGAGTTTCTGGCTCTGCGATAAGGACACTTCCTGCTCTGTTCCATGCTGACTACCATAAGGACTTGGCTTACATGTGAAAAACTGCCCTAGTTGGCTGGCCGAGTGGCCACACACTTCTGGTTCCTTCCACTCCTATGGTTCCTTGTTCCGTGCCACGGTGAGTCAGGAAGGCAGAAACCCTGGTCAAAAGCAACAGGGAAGCCAGAGAGCCAGCCCCACCCTGAGGCTTGGCCTTCCTGTTAGGTGGGCATAAACCCCCCTCCCATTTGTTCTGCAGGCTGCTGGAGGCCCTCCCCCGCCCCCCCCCCAGCAGAAGGAATCCCCCCTCCTTTGCATTTCAACCAGGCCCTTCTTCCTTTGGTCCCCACGGGCAGTAAACGAGTTTACAGCATTTGGGGATGGAGCATAGTCCCCTACTAACGTGTGGGGATGAACACAGTGATACGTGTGGAGTAGCTGGTGGGCTTTTTAAAGCTTTGCCAATCAGACTGGGCACCAGAACAGTATGAGTTTGTGTTTGCATGGAAAACGTGTTCAGGGTTGCCGCTTAGCAGCGAACATAGGGAACCTGCCTGTCCTCCAGTGGGTGGCCCTCTGAAGTTCCATCTTTATAAGGAAGAATATGGATGCGTGCTTTTTATTTTTAGTTGTGTTGAGAGAGAGAGAGAGAGGTGGGGGGCACAAGTGAGCTAGGGGCAGAGAAAGAGAATCCCACAAGGAACAGAGAGAGAGGGAGGGGGAGAGAGAGAGAAGCTGGGCTCACCAGAAGCGGGGTTCGTGTTTTACCCTAAGCGGGGCTCGTGCTCACCCGATGCGGGACTCAGACTCACAAACCGTGAGATCGTGACCTGAGCCAAAGTCAGATGCATAATGACTGAGCTGCCCAGGCACCCGGATGCATGCTTTTTACACCACACACAGGGCAAGGCTAACTGGAGACACGAAGCTTGTCCGTCATGCTGCACTCACTTGGCCGTCACATCTGACTTTAACTTCATTTTAGTAGCTCTGACTCCAAAAACCCTCCGTAAAACCCCAGTTTACCTTCCAAGTTTGAACTGTGCACAAAAAGGATCCGGAATTAGTTCCTTGTTCCTGGAAATGCCCCCCATTTTATTGGCTCATGGTCCTTTACACAGACTGACCTGAGAGGCGTCGGGCCTCTTCCCTCCCCACACCCAGCAGGTCCTGAGTTTTACCAAACTCACCAACCATTTGCTGAGCAGTCTGCCTTGCTGGGCTCAGGTGAGGGAGCAGGGAAGTCTGCCTCTGAGGGTGGGTTCTGCTGCCGAGAAGGGAGCCCAGGCCTGATGAGTGGGCCTGTGGAAGGATGAGTAGGACCTCACCGCGGGTGGGCAGTGGCCAGAAAGGCCCTCCAGGCAGAGGCCAGCGTGAGCAAAGGCGATCTGTGGGCTGCAGCTGCACGGGGCTTTTTCTCACATGACAGAGAATAAATGATGCTCTAAAAATAAGTAAATAAATTTAAAAAATTTTAAAAGATGCTCTTTCACCTTCTACCTTCACAAGTAGCATCAGTGGTTGTTTTTTTTTTTTTTTTAGAGAGGGAAACGCACAATCTGTCCCTATGTACTGTCACTTACGCTAGGTCTCTCTGTCTTCTTTATGCTTTTTAAACAATGACTTAAAGAAAGACCAGAGAGAGAGCCAAAACTGGATTTACAGAAGCCTTCCGTTCCTGCCATCCCGCCAAAAAAGCCCCGGCCACCCAAGACCAATTCTCTCAGCAGACCGGGTGCGCTGCCCCCCAGGAGGCCTGAACGACCAGTGGGTCCCCTGACCCACAGCAGGTACTGCTCCGCTCTTGCCGCTGGGGGCGGGTGAGGGGGCAGGTGAGGGTTGGTGGTGGGACCCAGGAGAGGGGCCATGAGTGTGGCCAGCTGAGGGAGGGGGGATAAAGCTGCCCATCCTGTAGCAAAGCCGTCTGCAAACTCTGGCTACTTCTGTCCTTGCTCCTGTGCTTGGGCAGCAGTGGGTGTGAGGCCGGGACGCACAGCGTGGGTTTTAGGGTTCGAAGGTGGGGAATCAGGTATCCGGCAGGCAGGCCCTGCTCAAATGCAGGGATTTTTCCCTGTTATTCTTTTCTTTTTTTAGAGAGATTTTTGTTTTAGTTTTGTTATTCATTTTGAGAGAGAGAGAGAACGAGCAGGGGAGAGGCAGAGAGAGAGAGAGAGAGAGAGAGAGAGAGAGAGAGAGAAAATCCCAAGCATGGGGCTCGAACTCACAAATCATGAGATCATGACCTGAGTTGAAATCAAGAGTCGGACGCTTAACTGACTGAGCCACCCAGGTGCCCCTTCCCTGTGCTTCTTTAGAGCAAGCCAGCTGCCCTTCAGACTGGATGTCCCGCTGGCCTCAGGTATGCATATCTCACTGGGGGCTCCGTCCCCTGACCCTCTCCCTGCTCTCTGGTGCCTCTTTCCACATCCCCAGGCTCCCTCTGCCCTTGACTGCACAGCCCTTTTGTGGAACCAAGGACCCGGCCTGGCAAATATTGTCTTAGTGTACGTGTCTCCAAACTATGAGACCATCAAAGGCAAGGCACACGCGTCGTTCAGGCCTGAGTTCTGAGATATGCCTGGCACAACTCAAATTTGTTCACTGGCTGGCGGGACGCACATGTCAGTGATGAGGAGTCACAGTTGGACTTTGTTCTTCCAGACCTGAGATGCTCACCACAGAGCAAAGAAGCGTCGTGTTCTCTGCACAAGTTAGTTGCCGGAACTTTCCACTGTTACATGTGTATTTTATGTGTTGGTGTCCTATACCCGAGCAAGCTCGCGGCCTGGGGGTCTTACCTGTCAGCACATAGGTTTTGTTCTTTTGAGTTAAGTTTGCATGGTGAGAGCCACGTGGGGCCTCAGCGCCCTTGCCTTGGAGTCATGCAGGCCTCCAGGTTTGCATCTCACCTCACCTCATAGGCATGTGAGCCTCAGCATGTCACTGACCCGCTCACCTCACTTTTCCATCTGTAAATTGAGGAGGATAATGGGATACACCCAAAAGGATGGACCAAGATAATTTCCAAGTGTGTGGCCCCATCCTTGTATCTCAGTGTTAGTTTCATTGTCATGCTTATTTTTTTAAGGTTTTATTAAGTCATCTCTTTACCCAACATGGGACTCAAACTGACAACCCGAAGATCAAGAGTCACACGCTCCACTGATTGAGCCAGCCAAGTGGCCCTTGTTGTCATTCTTATTATTGCATGTCGAACTGGGTGTATAAATGCACTGACACAAGAACAGCTAATTTACCTTCTTTAAATTTTTAATGTTTATTTATTTTTGAGAGAGAGAGAGAGAGAGAGAGGCAGAGAGGCAGAGAGAGAGACACACACAGAATTAGAAGCAGGCCCCAGGCCCTGAGCTGTCAGCACAGAGCCTGACGCGGGGCTCGAACTCACGAACTGCGAAGTCATGACCTGAGCCGAAGTCGGGTGCTTAACCGACTGAGCCACCCAGGCACCCCGCTCATTTACTTCTTAGTAAAAAATTTTTTAATTGTGGTAAATACACATAACATAAAATTTACCGTCATAACCATTTGTGACATTAAGGACATCACATTGTTGTGCAACTACTATCATCCATTCGTAGACCTTTTTTCATCTTACCAAACTGAAACTCTGGACCCGTTAAATGCTAACTCCCCTTCCTCCTCCCCCAGCCCCTGCCGACCACCATTGTGCAGTAGACCTTTGAATACACAGGGTAGGGGCACTAACCCCCATGTAGTTGAAAAGTATAATTTTTGACTCTATAAAAACATAACCACTAGTAGCCTACTGTTGACTGGAAGCTTTACCAATGATGTAAAGAGTCGATTAACACATAGTTTATATGTTTTGTATTATAGACTTTATTCTTATAATAAAGTAAGCTAGAGAAAAGAAAACATTAAGTAAATCATAAGGAAGAGAAAATACATTCATAGTACTGGCCTGCATTCATTGAAAAAAAACCCACGTGTAAGTGGCTCCACCCAGTTTAAACCAGTGTTGTTCAAGAGTCAACTGTATTTTCTATCTCTGTGAATTTGACTCCTCTAGATGCCTCATGTAAGTGGAATCCTAGAGCATTTGTCTTTCTGTGACTGGCTTATTTCACTTAGCCTGATGGCCCCAAGGTTCATCCATGTGGTAGCATGACTCATTTACTCTTAATATGAACAACAATATGTTGCCCCAATACAGAGGCGGGTAGCCATGTGAGTGGTTGAGAAATGTCAGAATCCCTGCCAGCCATGGTGGATGCATGTAAGCGCACCTGTGGGAGGCCGGGCTGCCCAGCTGAACACAGCGGTCATCTCAGTGCGGGTGAGCCTCTCGGAGTGGCAGCTGCTTCCCCTGTGTTGTTCGGCAGGCATCTCCCAAGGTCCAGACAACTGCCACTATAGGGTGGCCCGTGGGGAAACCGATGAGACCAGGGCCACCGTTGAGTTGGTCAGGCCTTACCTGTTGTGCCCTCTTCTCCTGACTGATAGAAGGCTGTTTGCACATGTGCACAACGGGGCCACTTGACAGCCTCAGTGACCTTAGCTTGGGCCTCTTCAGTAGCATGGTTGGCCCAGAAGCCAGCACTCCAGAAGAAAAATGTTATGTAAACCTAAGTGCTTCTGAAGAGAATACAGGCTATGCAAACAGGGAATGGAGAGCAAAGGTTGTACATCGCTTTTTGGCGGGTGAAAGGGAAAAAGAGGGCACGTTCTGCCAAACTCTCTTAGTCTGCCAGGGACTACACACATTTCCCTGAGGTCAGTAACAATTTCCATAATATTCTTGCTGTTCTCTCTCATGATCTGATTCGAAGAGAAGGACAATTCCAATGGCTTCTTTGCCTTGGAAGGTTGCCGTCACCCGTCTCGTTGTGGGATAGGTGCAGACTTTGTGAGCCATCAATTAGACCTGGTCCCGTTAGTTCCCCCGTGGACCTGAATGCAAGGGAGAAGCAAATTATAACTGCTGACCTTCTGGGCTCACAGAAGCCCCCTTCGCTTCTTGCCTCTCCCTCGCTCTTCTCTGCCTCCAGCTCGCGCGTCTTCTGCTTGTCCATTAGAAGTACGGATCACCAGGGAAGATGCGTGAGGAGGGCTCCGTACAGAAGCCAGTGGGAAATGTAACTGTTCACATCTGCGACCTCCCACTCACCCTGTGGTGGCCCAGCCCCCAGGGCACTGGGTCTGCAGAAAGAGGACAAGGGAGGAGAGCCCCTGGCTTCCTGCCTGATAGTCCTAGGAAATGGCCGATCGAGGCAAGGCTGGGAACGTTTGGGGAGCCAGTACCTGCTTTGGCCTCTTGCTCAGCCAGTTGAAGGGAGGACAGTGCCTGCCCTAACTTGGTGATTCTCAAATTTGAGCATGGGTCAGAGTCACCTGGAGACCTTGTTCCAACAGATCACTGGGCCCCACCCCCACGGTCGCTGACTTGGTAGGTCTGGGGTGGGCCTGGGAATTTACATTTTCAACAAGCTCCCAGGTCGTAATCTGAAAGCTTCTGGCCCACATTCATTCACCCTGTGAGAATCCCTCGTCTAGATTCTCCCACGTTTTTGACAGTTCCCTACCCTTTCCTGGCTACCTCTCATGCACCTGTTAACGCTCCCCGAATTCAGAGCCCAGTTAGCACACCCAGCTTCTGGAAGCCTTCCCTTATTTCTTGTGATTGCTCTGTTTCCCAAATGCCTGACACCCCATGTTTCGCCTAGTGCGGGGCCCCATGCTGTGCACTTGGGATGCTCACACCCGCGGACTCCTTTACCAGATTTAAAGCAGATCAAGAGTGTGTTTTGTCATCTCCACATGCTTTACAGGGTTGAGCATATGGTAGTGGCTCATTTAACACACTTGTTGAATGCCACGGTTCCCACAAAGGGAGGGATGTGCCAGTGCTTACATTTTGTTCACTTTTGCCTCTCCCGTCATCCTTCCCAGGCCCTGTACAAGCTCTGTGGTGTGTGTGTCTCATGTTCTGAGTCACCCAGTGTGCCATGGATTTCAGCTTTAAGCGATTTAAGAAGATCAAAGAAAGGCTTATTGTCTGTCAATCCTCGTGCACTTCATATTTTTTGCTAAGCAGGTACATTGGACAACCAACCCGTATATTGGTTTATGAACTTGTTTTGTTCTGCCCAATTAGTTGAGGTAGGAATGTCAACACCGTTCAAACTGTTTTGTGTCAGTGATCCTCTGGAGAAAAGGCACTGTCTGCTGTGTAAACCCAAATCCTCTCCAGGATTTCCCTGACTACATGGATGGACAGAAAGGTGAACACACGGACACACAGTCATCATTTGCCGTCCTCACAGGGAGCTAGGCATTGCCCCTCTCGCTGGAGTGTCTGGGCTCACACTTGCTCTCACCAGCCAGAAAGCTTGCTGCCAAATGTGGCTTCCAGAAGAGATTGGTTTCTTTCCATTTAAACAGGAAGTAGTATCTTTCAGGATAAAGGAATACATAAGTTTAGGAAGAGGGGAGTCATTTTTAGATACATTCGCGTAACAGCAATGTATTGAGGGGCCCCTGCGTGCAAGGCGCTGTTCGGGATCTCAGTGTTGCTGGGGCTCAGCTATAGATCAGTTTCCGGGAATCACATCTAGGAGAACTAGAACGACACCCGGGCACAGTTTTGTGTCCAGTCTGAGCAAGTGGAAGCATGCCATTAATGTACTTACCCATTGGTAAGAATACTCTTCCAATTTCCGGGAAGTAAGTGAAGATGGAATTTTAACAGGGGAAAAAAAAAAAGACTTTTTCCCAAAAAATAAAATTTAGTACCAGAGTTGATTTAAAA